AAGAAGGGGATGATGATGAGGATGAGGATGAGGATGACGACACCTCATCAGGGGGATATGTAAGTCTCGAGGATCCTTTCGCACGAGAACCCAGATGGAGGCCAACGGAGGACGAGTTGGACAAGGATTTTGATCCGAACGACGAGGTACGGATAACGCCTTAGTAGCTTGTAAATTTGGCTAATGCTATGGCTATGTTACCTCTGCTAACACTTTTGACCTGCCCGTATACACAGGTCGTCCCTACTCAACCTCTGAAAAGACGACGTCGGCCTCCGGCTCGTCTTGCCGGACAATACATAGCGGGGCAAAGGAGATCAGAGGAAGGAGCCACAGATACTCACAATGAGGCCTCCGCTCCACAACCTCAGGACACAACCACGACTGAGACTGCCCAGCCAAAGAGAAAACGAGGGGGGATTAGAAAGATAAACCAATATCACGACAAGGCATGCTATGTGATAACGGAGGTCGGGCCAGACGGGCAGATCCTTGAGCCATATACATACAGGGCAAAATTCCGTAATCACATCGGGTTTGTAGTTAGAGATAAGTTGAACCCAGCTATCCGTGGCTGGAATCTTGTACCTATGAGCCAAAAGGTAGACCTATGGGAGAAGCTGAAGCAGAACTTCAGGTTTCCGGAGGGAACGCATGAGTTGGTACAACAAAATGCTTTTAAGATAATGAGGCAGAGCTTCCGACGTTGGCGGTCGGATCTGAACAAGAACTTTATCCAAAAGAAGTTAACTCCTTTCCACGAGTATGGCAACATAACTCCTAGTCAATGGGAGGAGCTCGTGGCTGAGAAGACTTCAGAGGCATCATTGGCCCTCAGTGCCCGTAACAGCGAGCAGGCGAAGAAGAACCAACACTACCCTCGTCTAGGCCCCGGTGGCTACGCTAGCAAGCAAGAGGTCTTTAGGAAGATGGACGCAGAGGCCGAAGCTGCCGGGAATACGGAAGTGCCGAAGTTGAAGCCACGCCTCAAACAGTGGATATACGCGAGGAGTGTGGATTCATCCGGTAGTAGCCTCAAGTTTGCTAAGCCGGAGACCGGAGAGGTAGTATCAAAGATACTGAAACTTGCTGAAGACAAGGAGAAGGGCGCATTCAACCCTTCCAGAGAGAGGGACGAGCTTACCGTTGCCTTGGGAAACCCCGAGCACACAGGACGCACCAGGGGGCTAGGGAAGAGGATGTCCTGGAAGCACGGATTCGTAGAGGAGAGGCACATGTACAAGAAACATGGCAGAGACCAAGAGTCTAATCTTGAGCGCCAAGTGAAGGCTCTAGTTGAAAAGATGTTGGTGGAGAAAGGACTGTCTACGATGGAGCCACAGACACCAATGGGGCCGCCCGGACAACTGGCGGTAGTTGGCAGCCCTCCGGATGTTCCCAGTAGTCAAGGTTTCAATGCAACCGGAACCCCCGTCGATCGCATACGGGCGCCAACCAGTTGCAAATTGGTGGTTTCAATGGGCAGGCAAAACATGATCATTGAGGTGGCAACGGGCGTGGCACATCCTCCGGGCGGCATGTGGCACAATAGGGACATCCCGCAAGACTACACTCGGGTCGAGGTGCATACCGTGAAGCCCGAGTTCATGACTTGGAAGATAGAACACCCTACTCCCGAGGGCTCGTGTTACTTGGAGACGTCATGAACCAGTTCATCCTCTGGCACAGACGGGACATTGTATTGACCGAGTCTTCGCCAACTCCGACTGAAGTTCATCCTCTGGAGCGACCCGTCGAGGACGGGGAGGTATACTCACCGGCCCATGACCATGACCACCACACGCTAGAGACTTCTCCACCTCGTACCGAGCAAGGGCATGATGACATGCCACATCCTTCTCCACCTCGTATCGAGCATGGGCATGATGACATGCCACGTCCTTCTCCAGCTCGTACCGAGCAAAGGCATGATGAGATGCAACATCCTTCTCAACAAGCGTAGTCGATACATGAACAACAAGTGTCTCATGAACAGCAATTGCCTCGTGAATAGCCGATACGTGAAGAACAAGTGGCCCCTGGAGCAGGTGATGCACAAGTTGACAAGGACATGCCTGAATGGAAAGCTCAAAACAAAATCCCAATCAAGATAAGGCCATCGTATGTGGGCATTAATGACGTCTTGTCAGTGCACAAGTGGATGGCCCATGACCAGTTCAAGGCTAAGAACCAAGTAAAAGAATTCAGAGCACCAGCTTCTGAGGAGGGCACCACTAGCAAACTGCACAAAGGGTTTAACAAGTATCCAGCTGTTGATAACCTCAAATTGTCAAATGATTACCCGGATAAATATGAAAAAGGCAAGAACTTCCTACCAAACCGAGTCATACAGTGCTTGCCACGTAGAATGAGGAAGTTCCACGATTGGTACTTGCGTGCTCAGATAACAGAACTAGAAATCTTACAAGCATGGATCCCTACCGGCACATTTGGAGCCCCAGATGGGCAAATTGCCATTGAGTTTAAGGATATCCAGGCATGCTTCCACCTCGGACGAATGGAAATGAATCTAATTCGCATATGGTGCCTGTAAGTCCTTGCCCTCTCGATATGATGCGAATGTAATCTTTTAATTTTGTTGTAACTAACCCGCGCCGTGATTTGTAGAATGCAAGCGAACTTTGTGAAAAAGAGGCCAGCTCTGAAATACGGATATATAGACCCTTCACCTATAGCATCAACAAATTTTAATTACCCTAAAGAGTGGAAACTAGATTACAAAGAACTAAGAGCTGGAAAGACACTTAAGGAGAAAGAGGACATCAGGAACAAGAAAATATTGGAAGAGTCCCTCAAGGTTGCGGCATACATTGCCCTATGTTTCAAAAATCTTCAACAACACGATAATATATGGATACCATACCACTTCAAGTAAGTTCGACTGTATACTTAGCTTTGTTCAATATACTTTGTTCGATGCAAAAGAGTTTATGTGTTCCTTCTATGACTAAATTCATGCAGCGATCACTGGATTTGCATAGGCGTCTGGCTCTCACATAGCATGGCATGGGTCTTTGATTCAGCGGTTGTCATACAAAGACTTCATAGCGATTGTCAAGACGTATACATATTGACAATCCTTATTTTAGCTACTATGTTTGTATACATACTTGTAAGGTTCAATGTGGGATACTAACAAGTTGCATTTGCTAAAACCATTGGAACAGGGCATTCAGGCACTATGTCCAGGAACATAAGGGGAGGCATCATCCAAATAGGAAGGAAAAGTTGTATGTCAAAACTCTATGTGCGGTAAGTGTCATTTACTTTGGTACTCCATATATTATGTGTCTGTCAATAGCATTACTTAACATCTCCATATGCAAAACACACAGTGCCCCAAGCAGAAGCCTGGGAGTCTACATTGTGGATACTACATATGTATTATGATGAGTACCATCGGTGGCTACAACAGAAACCCCAATCTGGTAAGTTTGAACCTCTTCACTGGTAGTATGAAAAGTTCGCATATGTTGTGATATAGTAAACCTAAATTTGTTCTCTTGTAGTTGGAGAAAGATAAAGACACGAGAAGGAACCCATACAAGGATGACGAGCTCTTAGAGATGGTCAGCGACCTTTGCAACTTCATAATGGACCAGATTGTGTATCATAAAGGCACTTACCATCATCTTCTTTCCGACTTAGGTAGTAATCCTCTATACCAACACCTTCGGGAGACTGATAGGCTAGCCCTAGGCCGTTGATGACAATATGGACTTGTGGTATGGTTTGGATCAGACTTTGGAACGGTTTGGACTTTGTGTGAATTTCTTCTTCTTTGCGGGTGCATTGTTTGCTAATTATATTTGTTGCAGGACTGAGCTGCTAGTGGATTTGGTTTGGTGGCACATGTGAATCCCAGCAGGTGTTCGTCAAAATGCTTCTGTGATTTGCCTGCTTCAGTTCATACGTGCAGGGGCAGCCGCTTCCACTTGAGAGCAGGTGGATTTGAACGGGGGTTGCTTTTTCCGCGCGTGGAGGTGAATTATTTAACCAAGCAAATTATCTAGGTCTTGTCCTATCTCGTTGTGTGCATGTCTCTCAGAACTATACGCACTGTGTATGATCATTTTTAGCTGCAGGGTTGGAATAACATCTCATAATCTATTTTAGATTTAAGTTACATCTATTTTAGATTTAAGTTACATTGAAATTAACATGTTCTATAAAAAAAGTGTGTATGAAAACATGTCAGTTCTTTCTGAGCACAAAATTAACATGTGTTCCTAATTCATTTAAGTTGTTAAGATATGTTCTCATGCTCAAATGAAATTGATTTGCATGAGTACGGTAGTTTGTTCATAGTTCACAGTTAACGAAAATCGTAGTTCAATTCAGTTGAAGGTATCTGTACACCAAGAGTGCTCGATACAGTAGCACCACCAGACTTGGTCGTGTTTAGCACAAGTTATTCAGCTATAATTATTTCCTTATGCAAGTAGCTATAATATTTTTCCATGAATTATAAATAGAACAGCTGGTTATGCTGTTGCAAGGTTAACTATCCATCATGTGTCCTTGCAGTAATATTCTTGTGTAATTTATTTTATGTTGACATTGAGAATCTGAGAAAAAATAGATATGTATAATACATGACATTGAGAGCACTTATGTGTTGTTCCGTAACCAAGTTCTTTAGCAAGGCTGCCTCTTAGTTTTTGCTGCTTCATGAACATTACCATGGTTTACAGATATTACGGTTTTTGCTGTTTGTGTTTATAATTACAGCCACCTGACTTGTTGAATTATTTCTTTCTCTAGCACAAGATCCGGCAGTGAGCTGCTCTGCTATTGTTTGCTCTTGCCTCCTTGTCTGCAGGTGCGTGATTTTAGTTCAAATGTGATTACATTTGAGCCCCCTGGATTCTTACATTTGGGAGCCGTAGAAACACAGATGGTTATTAGAGCAGCATGTCACTGACTTGAGCTGCGCAATCTGTTTGGTTGCACAATCTTGCTGTAACGTATTTGAGGCAATGAGGCATGAGGTATTTCACTCGGCTGGAGCAATGGTTTATTCTTTTCTAGTGTCAATGCAATCAATTTCAGCTGGGTGCGTCTTTACCAGTGTCAATGCAATCAATTTCAGCTGAGTGCTTCTTTACTAGTGTCAATGCAATCAATTTCAGCCATGTGCCTGTGTAGCAATATACAACTAACTGAATACAGTTAACTTATATGACAGATCACTTTGGTCACAAACAGCTGTGGATGGGTCTGTGAACTAATGCAATATCGCCCAGTGAATGATGCATTGCATGGTTTGTGAACTGTTGGTGGCTGCATCATCTGTGAACTGTGGCAGCTATCCTGTTGTTTGAACTTGTGCCATTTGGTGTGGCTAACTTTAAATGTAACTGATCTGTGATGATCTGTGAATTGTAATGGCAATGGGACCTCTCTCTATATATGTAATATGTGATGATTTGTGATGATCTGTGACGATTTGAATGTGGTGTCAATTTAAATAATGGTCTTGTGTTTGTGGATATATATATGTATATTTGTGACGGTCAGATTCGAATTTAAATTATATATATATATATGTGGTCAGATTTGAATTTGAATTTTTTTTTTGCTGAAAAATCCACTGTAGAGGCGGTTCTTGATTGAACCGCCCTTACAAATACACACAGCAGGGGCGGCTGGTGATACAACCGCCCTTACAGAAGTCCACTACAGGGGCGGCTGATATTACCAGCCACCCCTACAGAGGGCACTGTAGGGGCGGCTGAAAACACCAGCCGCCCCTACAGAGGGCATTGCAGGGGCGTTCAGGAAACCGCCCCTACAGAGGCACCCTCTGTAGGAACACCCTGGGAAGGGCGGCTGGCGCAGCCGCCCCTACAGAGGCTCTAGAGCCGTCTCTACAGTTAACTTTTGTAGTAGTGTGGGTCTGAAGACCAGCTCCATGTTTTTTTTGGCTGAGGATAGGGACTGCAGGACAACTCTAGGAAAAAGATTGATTTACGACAACTCCAATACACACCAGTTGTTTTTCTTTTTTATAAAATTCCATCAGACTTAAATAAAAAGATTGACTTAGGACATCTTTAGAAATTGATTTATTTGTGGATTGAGACTGGTTTGTCATAATCTGTTTACCTAATCAAATGATTTGACTTAGGACATCAGACTTAAACCTTTTTGTCATAATCTGTTCTATATACATTCTGTCATAATTTGTTTACCTAAAATTGTTTTTTATGCAGAATAATACCATGAAGTAATGTCACAGTCCGGGGCCTATGTTTCTAGGGCCTTTCAAAGGTGAAACATCGCCAGGAATCAATTTGAAACAGCCGTTGAACAGTACTGTCTCTGTCTTATCTTCAAATGCCAAACATTGAAATCAGTCCCTTGCTAATGTGTGGTGATATGTGACTTAGATGCTACTCCATCTGTTCTAAACCATAAGTTGTTTTGACTTTTCTAGAAATATAGTTTTTATATGCATCTAGATACGTTGTCTACATATACAATAAAGACGACTATGTATCTTAAAAAGCTAAAATGACAAAATTTGTAACAAAGGGAGTAGTAAATGTCTATGTATTATCTTTAAATTAAATGACAGTTGAAGGAAGGAGCAGACATATGGATGGATGGATGGAGATTCAGTGGTTAAAAGTACTGCAGGTCTTGGATCATGTCTTCCTTGTTAATCTGCAGGTCTTGGATGTAGGATGTGGAATTGGGGGGGGCCTTAAGGGAAATAGCCAGATTCAGGTAATGAGTTAAAAAATAAACTGCCATATTATACAGATGTCTCAATGCTATTTGTTATTCTAGCTCAACAGATATAACTGGACTGAACAACAACGCTTACCAGATATCAAGGGGCAAGGTTTGGTTATTCTGACTTATTCTTCAAGAAGTACAATATTAAACTTGTTAGCATATATACTTTTGCGTCAGATGCAATATAGGCTATTTGCATTTCAGGAGCTCAATTTTTCGGCCGGTTTGAGTGAGCAGTGCAACTTCATAAAGGTGAAGTTGCATCCGTTATCAGTAAATTATAATGGTTTTCGTCGGGTCATGACCTTTCTTTATACTAAAATCTAATGTGCCTTACTATCTTTTTTGGCAATTGTAGGGAGACTTCATGAACATGCCATTTCCTGACAACACCTTTTTCTCGAACGTACCTCAGGCACGGATTTCATTAAGCAGAAGTAGAGTTTTTTTTGTTACAAGGACTGGCCAGTAATCCTAGAATTACCAGCGCAATCCCACAAGCACAAACGATACAACAAGAAAGAAAGCATGGGGGAGGGGGGGACCTCCACTACCAAACCCATACAGACTAAGCCTATTACAGGAAGACAAAAACACATTAGTAGCCTAAGGTGTAGTGTAGCCGCGATAGCCAGCATCCACCAAGGAAGCCAAAGGAGCCGGCACGACAACAGCGGCAAAGCATCCGCACGAGAAACGACCACGGCGGCCAAGCATCCGCCGGAAAAGGACCATTACGGCAAAGCATCCGTAATTAGGGCCATCACACGCTCTGCAGCTGAATGAGCGTGGAGACCGAAGCGACGAGGTGGCCAAGCATCCACCCAAGCAGCAACAGCGGCAAAGCATCCGCCAAAGAACCGAAAGACAGCGGCCATTTCCTGACAACACCTTTGATGCAGCCTACGCAATAGAGGCCACAATTTATGCTCCTGATGTAGTACGACTCACAAAATAAACTGCAAACTAGAGTTATGTTTTTAAGTGAACACACCGTCCAGTGTTGCTGAGATTGTTTTTGGTATCTGGCTATTACAGCTAGGTGCCTACAGGGAGATATACCGGGTGCTGAAACCTGGTCAATATTTCGCACTAGATGAACTGTGCTTGACTGATAAATTTGATCCAAACAACGCTAAGCATAGGGACCTCAAGGCCAAAATTGTGCATCCAGGCTATGAAAGAAGCTGGATTCGAGGTGTTGTACTAAAACCATCAGGCTATGGTTTCAATGAGACAGATCTAGGTCAAATTACTTTGGGATATATAGCGAAATGACTCTTCTGTTTCATTTTAGATTGTCTTGGCGAGGGATCTTGCTGAGGACTCTCCATGCCCATGGTACTGGGACATAGATGCCCACCTTTTCTCATGGAGCAGCTTCAGTTACTCTGGTGTCACAAAGTTCCTCATGCGTGCAATTGTAAGTTACAGGACTGTACTGACACATGTTTTTAGGTAGTCGTATAATCTGCAGCCTTTTGTGGGTAAGAATGTCTCAAGCTACTGCTTTATCGTTAATTTTATTGCAGGCTGGTACACTGGAGTTCCTCCGGATTGCTCCGAAAGGCAGCAGTAAGCTTGTTAGCATGCTGCATACTGCATCCAATGAGCTCATCATAAGCTGTCGGTAAGTCTTGAAAGGAAACTACAATGTCTTTATCAGAATCATAGAGTTGAGCAACCAAAATAAAATTTGAAGGAAATAATGGACGATGCATGATCACAGGGAACAGATCTTTACAGTGACCTTCTTTGTCCTTGGCCGGAAACCTCACAAGGAAAGTGATGTTTAAAGCAACCTACAATATAATGTCCAATGGAGAAAAGAATAAAGTTTCGTCGGATCCTTCTCCTTTAAGCCTTATAAGATATATATTACTACGGAAGACGCTTGCTTGCATATGTAATCATATACTGTACTAGATTACTGATTGTGATGTATTTGAAATAATCATATTTGCCTTCAAATGTTATAGAAGGTGTTTGTTTGCACATACACTGTACCAGATTACTAATTGGGATAGTCTATGTGGAATAAGTATATTGTAATGTTGAATTGTGACTCAAATACTACTTAGATTAGGATCTGCGATAATGCAACTATCAGAACGCCCGCCCGTGACTCTACGTCCAGACGCGGCTCCACAGGAGAAATCCCCATTCGGACGGACGCCTCCGACCGCTCACTTCCAGCATGCGTTGCTTGCCCTCGCTTTCTCCTACCAATTCTTATCCCTTCCGCGCTCGCACCCTGCCCCACCCCGACGCGCGGCCATAGCTACCTCCCTGGCATGCGGCGGTGCCCTCACCCACCCCAGCGTGCGCGCTGCCCACCCCGGTGTCCTCCCCTACTCTGGTGGTTCCTTCCCCCACCCCAGTGGCCTCCTCCCCCACCACGGCGGCGCCCCTCCCCCCACCGCGGCATCCTCACCCACCGGGAGCGCCCAATGCCCACGGATCCAGTGGCCCTCTCCCCCACCTCGGCGAGATCCATAGACCGTGAGCGAGATCCATGGAGGTGGCGCAGTGCTGTTGCCGGGGAGTGGGCGCGGCTCTCCCCACCCCAGCGCGGCGCTCACCCCACCCCTGGCGATGCCCTCTCTCACCCTGGTGACCGAGCTCCCTCCCACCCGGCGGCCGAAATCGACTGCCCCAGCCTTCCCCTCCCCTATGTTGCATGTGTATGTTTCAAATATTTCAAGAGTTTCAGATCTATGTTGCATTTGTTTCATTTTGATGTTGCAAAAATAGAACGGGGGATGTTGCACATGTTGCATATGTTGCAATTGTTTTAGAGGCATGTTGCAAGTATATGTTTCAAGTATTTTAGTTGTTTCAGAGGTATATTTTATCTATGTTTTCCGGATGCATGTTACAAGTGTATTTATCTGGATGTTGCATATGTTTTACACATACGTGTTTCAGATGTGTGTTGCAACTGTTGTATTTGTATGTTTCAAAAGTAGATCTAGTGTTGCATCTCTCCTCCCCACCTTCCGCTGCATTGCCTCGGTGTGTCCTCCTCCTAGCGCCAGTAAGGCATCCATACGACGCTGCGGCCGGGTCCTTCCGAATTGGAGGCGCCGCGCGCCATTCCCCTCTTGTCGCACGGGCCCCACGTGGAGCGTGAAACCGAAGGATCAATGACGTCTGGGCGCTAGCACTACCGTAGGAATTAGTGGTGGAGCTACAGGGTGATCCCCCGTGGGCTGCGGACCACCCTGTGCTCGGCCTGCCAAGGCCCATAGGATCTAGAATCCGGGACATCCAAGCCTCTGTGAGCCTGTTTGTCGCTCCGTCTTTGCGTCTGTCTTCGTCCCTTTGCAGCGATGCTTCCTATTCTTCTACTAGAGTAATGGTAAAATATTGCAATTGGAAGTGAATTATGGTAAAATATACCAAACACCACCAGCATGTTCAAAATTGCAAACCACGTGGGAACCATTAGCAACTTAAACAATTATGGTAGAAAATGTCACCCCTAAAAGATCTGCTGCTACTTTTTGACGAAGAAAGGCATGCGAATTTCCCAAGTCAATCAATATAAAACTATGTCGTGGCCCTAAAAATTGCATTTAAACCTCAGTGTCATGGGAGTATGTTGACCAAAAATGGCTTCCTTGGAGATATAGCAACAAACAACTCAGAAGTGTCTAACTGAGGAACAGCAGAATCAGCAAGAGTTCCCAAATCTCATGAACCACATCAAGCTGCACTTTGGTTACACATGAATCAAATGCTGCTTTATCGAGGACAACACGATCGAGATGCTTGTTCAATTTGAGCACATCAAGCTTCTGATCAGCCACCGCCGAATCCTTTTTGTGGCATCCACGAATCCGATGCCACTTGGAGAAGCTTCCAGCTCTGTGGCCCATCACATCCTTGAGCTTCTTGTTGTCAGAGAAGGGATTCAACCAGTTTTGGTCGAAGTCTGAGAAACGCCTCTGGAACTCGTGGAGGATGAGCTTTCTCTTGAGATCCATGGCACTGTGGCTGCATAATAAATGGCTGAGGTGGGGTTGCAGCAGGTCAGACAACTGGGTCGTGGATCCACAACACAAATCGATCAAACTGGAATGGAATTACGGAATCTCGAGCCCCAAATGGAAGCTCATTGATAGAATTCACGTTAGACCGACCAATTATATATAGTGTTCAATCGATGGATGGGATAAGGGGAACAGAAGACGACCCATGATCGATGAATCTGATACCAAGATTATATAGGGATAAATAAATAAGAGGAATAGTTCAGAGAAAAGCAAGGGCAACTTTGAGGAGTTCGAGTTGAGTTGAGATTGAGTTCTCTGTTACACTTATACCTTGTTTGTTCACCAGGAGCTTTCTCATCAACTAAACAGCCACAGCTAGTTGCTCCATTCTGGGCTGCTGACCCATAGCTTGGGGGGTGCTGAACGCTTGGTCACCCCTGATCTGATCATCATATGGCCTGCTGACACACAGTTTCCGTTAGATAATCTACTGCTATCTTGTGTGAATACAGCAAGGAAAGGCGGCGCCGAACTAGCCCCCTGCTGTGATACTGTAGCCGCTACAGGTGCAGGCGCCGCATGGCTCACCTGCAGCACTGTAGCCACATGCAGAGGCCGGCGCAGAGTCAGCCCTATATGTTATCTAGTTATTGTGTTACAGCATGTGCGCTGTACTAGGACTAGATAGATAGAGTTGTATAAATAGACTACCACGGCAACTCAGTAAAGAGAGTTCAAATTTATCATCTCTCAGATAGGATTTCGGCCAACGCTGATGTCTTGTACTGTGTGTGCATGCTCTGTTCTCCCTTCTTCTTCTAGCTCTAGTCGTAGTGTGTGGGGATGGACAACGCTTATTCGTGGTCGGCACGGCTAGTGGGTGCTCGGCAACACTAGCGGGTGCTCGACAAACTGTTGAGTGGTTCACTCACCTGAGCCGGTGATCCTATGGGCCAACAAGTGGTATCGGAGCCGTACAAGCGCCGTCGCCAGACTAACCGCTGGGGATGACGGGCGGTTCGGAGATGGGCGACAGCAGTGGCACTGCTGTGGCTTCCCAGCCACGACCGGAGGTCGTTGTTCACACGGTGCGGGAGGTCAGCAGCACTAGTTGGCCGATGCTGACTCGCACCAACTATGGAGAGTGGTTGGTGACCATGAAGTTCAAGCTCAGAGCCCGACGGCTCTGGAATGTTGTTGACAAGGGCATCGACAATGTGGAAGATGACATGTCAGCGTTGGAGGCTATCCTCGTTGCTGTACTGGCGGAGTACAGGGAGCCGTTAGGGGTGAAGATCTTAGCTAAGGAGGCGTGGGAGGCTATTGTGGCGATGCGCGTCGGTTCTGACCGCGCAAAGAAGGCGACGGCCCAGCTTCTGAAGCAGGAGTACACCAACCTCAAGTTCAAGGATGGTGAAACGATGGAGGACTTCTCTCTCCACCTGCAGACGCTCATCAGCAAGCTGAAGAGCCATGGCATCACCATCGACGAAGAGGAGACGGTCTCCAAGTACCTCCACTCCGTGTTGGCAAAGTACATCTAGATCGTTCTCTCCATAGAGATGATGCTGGACTTGTCCACCCTCACCACTGAGATGTGACAGGCCGTCTGCGGGCGGTGGACGAGCACCTGGAGCAGGCGACAGCAATGAAGGCAGCGAGAAACTCCTACTGACGGAAGAGGAGTGGGCTGCTCGGAGGAACTCCAGGAAGGCAGCCTCCTCCAGCCGCGGTGGCGATGGCAAGCGTCGTGGCAAGGCTTCTTCGGAGAAGAAGAAGCAAGTCGACTCCAACGCTTGTCAGCACTGTGGGAAGATGGGCCATTAGGCACGGGAGTGCCCAAATCACAAGCAGGAGAAGAAGGCTGAAGCTCATCTGGCGCAAGCTGATGATGAGGATGAGGCCACTATCCTTATGGCGACATTCTGTGCACTGCACGACGTCGAGGCCGAGGAGAAGGAAGAGGATACGACGGTGGAAGGACCTGGGAAGGCCCTGAAGACTATCAACCTCGATGAACCACACGCCCAAGTCCATCTCGGATGTGTGGGCGCTGACCAGGAGCAGCGGTGGTATCTGGACTCCGGTGCCAGCAACCACATGACGGGCTCCAAGGCATCCTTCTCCGAGCTCGACGACGATGTTACCGGTACGGTGAAGTTTGGTGATGGCTCAAGGGTGGCTATCCAAGGGCGCGACACCATCATCTTTAGGTGCCAGAACGAAGAGCACTGCGCGCTAACGGATGTATACTATATCCCACAGCTGCGTTCCAGCATCATCAGCATTGGTCAACTGGATGAGCGCGGTAGCGAGGTACTGATCAAGGGCGGAGTCCATAGGATCAGGGACCGGGAGCAGCGACTTCTTGCCAAGGGGAAGAGGTCCCTAAACCGGTTGTACCTGCTCGACCTGAAGGTAGAGCAGCTAGTGTGCCTGGCGGCAAGACACTCCGAGGAACCGTGGATGTGGCATGCCCGGTTCGGACATCTCAGCTTCGACATGCTTGGTCGGCTAGAGAAGATGGTCCGAGGGCTACCCCACATCAAACACGGAGGCGAGCTGTATGACAGCTGCCTGGCCGGGAAGCAGAGGAGGCTACCTTTCCCAAAGGCGGCCAAGTATCGCGCGAAGGACGCTCACGAGCTCATGCACGGCAACCTCTACGGGCCGATCACGCCTGCTACAAATGGTGGTCAGCGGTAGTTCCTCATGCTCATGGATGATTGCAGTCGCTACATATGGCTACAACACCTAACGAGTAAGGACGAAGCGGCGGCGGCGATCAAGAAGTTCAA